TTTGGGGGGGCTAATTTGGTTTTTGGGGGGGCATAGCCCCCCCAAGCCCTCCCCTAACTTCGCCCATGAGCAGAAGAGGATGATTGTTGTGGTAGAAATTGAGAGATACAGCTAGATGAATATTGTGGGGAAAGTAGGGAAATATTTTGTTTAAGTAAAGAATTGGGAATATTAGAGGCTGTTACCATAGCATAACTTTTTTTTGGAACTTTATCATTTGCATCTCTAAAGGAGCAGTTTGTTTCAGACATATACTTTTTAATTTCCTTCTCTCTAGAGAACTCCGGACAATTTTGAATGTCATTTGCATAATGTTTTCCCTGACAATTTAGACACATTTTTTCCAATTCTGAGCAACTATCCGAAACGTGTTCTTGGCCACATTTTAAACATCTTTAATTACTTCTACATTGCCTGCCAATATGACCATAGGATAACAATTATTACACAGAAGAACTTTTAGTTGGTAAATTTCTACATCAGATAAAACTTTATTAATTAGTACCTTTCTTGGCAAAGTTTGGCATTTAAATGAAACCAGAATGGAAGTAGTTGGAGCTAGGCATATTTCATTATTGTCTTGTTTATTTACGATTTATTCTTTTTACGAAATCTACCTCAAATTTACTATGAAAGTCATAAGCTGAAATCCTGCATTTTAGAAATTCTTCAGGCAATTCAGTATCTATTCCTTTGATAACACCGAGTTAGGTATATATGCGACTAGGTTGTGTTGACCAATGGTTGTTAATTTTAGTAATATATTTGCACTTAAGTAATATATTTGCACTTAAATAATCTTTAAATATTACTCGGATTCTATTTCTACCTATAGACTGAATTTGTTTGATTTTGAGATTAATTTCTAGATGTAAATTTAAGATAATTTCACTAACTTTAATTGCATTTAACTTACCCCAAAAATCTGTACAGTTATTTTCAATGTAAACTTGTAATGGGCCTAAATCTGTACTCTTATAAGTATGCAATTTCTGATTTGATATATTAGTATTTGTTATTTTTAATTATTGCTGCTCCATTCAATGGGTTGGGAATTAAAGAATTTGTCTGACTTACCTTGTTTTGCTTAACCAATTCGGGGCTTACAACATAAATATCTGGAGATTTAGGTGGGGGTGAGGAAGGTGAACCTTCCCCGTCATCTATTTCCATTTTACCAAAATTAAAGACGATCCTATCTTATAATTTTCTTCAATTTCTAACGTGTACTAAACGAAACTATTAAAAGAAACCAACTAAAGTGTCTTTTTCACCTAGAAATTAGCAAAAATTAACTCTACACTTTTACTTCGCAGTTGACAATTATCAAATTTTTGACGTTTTTTTTTTACCCCACAATAACTTAAAAGTGGATAAAGAAAACTTAGGATTGAATCCATCTTGTCGAGAGCTGAGCAGCATCGGAGATACTTTATAGTGGTATTTTTTCTACATTAAGGTATATTTCTGTTATTTGTGATTATAGAAAAAATTCTTTCAATAAAAGTTGTTTGTCATGTCATTTCCTATAGTTTTTTTGTTACATGGTTTCTCTAAAATAGACTGTAATAAATAAATATGAAAAAAGTGCAAATTTGAATTTTTAAGTATTTTCATTGGCAATGAAAATATCTTTTAATTCATATTCTAAACAATTTTTGATTAGATGGGCCGTACTCAATATTTTTAATAACTTTACAGGAAAGTCATGTGTTGGGCACATCATATTTTTTGTCTTATCTCAAAGATTAGGAACTGGTAAGTTAGAACAACCTGCACATTTTTCTTGAACGTTTTAACATAATAGTCCGTCAGATAGTGACAGGTTTAGGTGCCCAATTTTTGCATACAAGCCTCGAAGAGGGTTGAAAAGTACATCGATCTGAAGTAGAATGAAAGAAAATTTACGAGTGGCTGCTGGGGATAACACATGGAAAATTAGATTTTCCCTAACAAAAACGAAAGGTTATTTGTTGCCCATTTTTCAACGCAAGCTGTTTTTACTATATAATTAATTAATAGAGCTAGGCTTCGAAAAACAAAAGGCTTTAATGTTGCAAGTGGCTAAAGGGTTGAAATAAGGGCGTAATCTTCTAAGGAAAAATCGAGATTTTGCCCGATTTTTCCACGCACACCCATCAAATGTATGAAAACGTACGTCGTCACTAGTCCGAAAAACATATTTTCTTGAATGACCCGAATATATAAGTGCATTTTGGGGTCGATAAATTTTTCTGATAAGGAAAATCGAATTTTCCATGTGTTATCCCCAAGAGCCACTCGTAAATTTTCTTTTATTCTACTAAACATCGATGTACTTTTCAACCCTCTTCGAGGCTTGTATGCGAAAATGGGCCACCTAAATCGGTCACTATCTGACGGTCTATAAACCTAGTTTAAAGTGTAAATACACTAATAGGTTTGATGTCAGGCTTTATAGAACCATTTATACAATAGGCCTCTAAAATGAGTACCTACTTATTTTGTTAACGTTAAGTTGCCAAATTGTCGAAAGTAAAAACCGACTGTTTATCAGAGAAATCTATTCGCGATTCAAGCTAAGTGATACGCCCTCTGGATGAAATTTGTAAAAGGTCCCTATAAGTAGGATATCGTTCAGTGTTGCCAGAAGTAGCAAAATTTCGCTATGTCGTCGGATTTTAGCTCTTGAAGAAGTGGATAAGACATTTTATTTAAGAATCAAAATTTGTGTCTAGTAATATGTAATTAATTATACTTTATATTTATTTATATTATATACATTATATTTATAAGAATTTTTTTATGAAATCGATTTATTATATTGATTTTTTTTAAATATCAGTTCATTTATTAAATTTGTTTTAAAATCAGTTCATCATTTGGCAACATTGGCGTTCGTGTTCATTGTTTACATTTTAATTTGTATCAATTACAATTCGAGTTTTTTCTTACTTTTTAGCTTTAAATTTGTTTATTTCTTATAGTACGTGATAGTGTTTATATTAAAAATGAAATCTCCGAAAAAGTGCCCAGCAAATTGCAATCTATATTGTGTTAATGTCAAAATCAAAACTGAAGTATTCATTATTTTCCAAGTGCAAGTCGTAAAATTTTGTTTCTTATAATAAATGGATATCTACAAATTCACAATATTGAAATTTTGCAAAACTTTGTTTAGAATCAAACTGTAATCTGATTTGTGACGGTTTTATTAGCATTTATATGTATACAAAGTACCAATTCACTTCTTAATATAAGAATAAGGATAGTAAGATTTTTAAATAAGTTCATCAATAATAAACGTTTGGTACCTAAAATATGTCCTGGGTTTAGTAAATACATATTTCTAGATGTTCTTGTAGCAACCAATAGGTGAATATTTCCAACAAATTAAGTCATTCACATGATAAATATTATATTTATGACGAAAGCACGAGAAATAAACTTAAATTAACACTAAATGAAACTCAAAAACACTATTACAATGAGAATATTATCTAAAAACAGTTAAAAAAATCACAAATACAAAATCCGCCCAAAACAAACACACGTAAATAAACAAACATCCTACTTATAGGTGACAAATGACAGGCGCGCGAAAATTAATTTGAATCGCGAATAGGACTGGCAAGATTGTAGATGATTAATAATTTCAATCAAGCAAAATCATGGACTAGAATCTGCAGGGCTACATTTACATTATATAAATTTTTTCTGAATGTGCTATCTTAGCATTATTAATCTTTACTTACCTTTAGTTCTAAACCTAGAAGGTTGAGATGAATATATCATCAGTTATATTTGTTTTCTTCTATTAATATTTCATTACAAGTCTGGAATATGAGCTAACTGCGGATAAATCTATGAAATTAAGTTGTTATCTTCATCACAAATAGAACAAACAAGGTAAAATAAGTACCTGAGATAAAATTTGGAATAGTCAGCTGAAGCTGAGACGCATTTCAAACTAAACTAATCATAAAAAAACAGCTTTGCCTCAACCATTAATAAAAGTATAAACTTAGCACGGGACAAAACTTTAAATTATTCAATTTAAAAAATTTGAGAATTAGATTTGATCTCCTTTTAATATGTGAGTTGTGACTTCTACTACTATGTATATTTAAAAAAAAAAACTACATAACACAAGCAATTTTAAAATCGCCATATATTGTAAATGACTAGGAGAATCAACAGTGATTTTTTTGTAATTTTTGTAAATGAGAACAAAATACAAATTAATATTAAAATTACATTAAACAGATATTTTCCAATATTTCGTATTTCTAAATAGGGCATTTGGTTTAATAAATACAGCTTACTTACATAAGGAGTTTATTATGTATTAACAATAAGAAAACAAGATATCTAAGAGCTAGAAACTATGTTATTGTTTATTATTGGTGAAGATTGTTTTATTCTTCAATTTTTTTTTTTTTTTTCTTAAAAAATGTAATTCCACAATTTAATTTGAGTTCTATATCGTTTATATTATACTCATTAGTAGACCTCTCTCAAAATAAGCCAAAATTTAAAATTGATAACTAGAAAACTAACCTAAAAACAACTGTCATACCGAGGAGAAAACGTTCGAATTCCGTGACGTCACATCCTTGATTTTTAACGTGTTATAGTCACGGCGTTTGTGGAAACACTCCTTATATTGTTCTCTAATTAGATTAAGTTCTCTTGGGCAATAAATACTATATTTATTTGTCAGTTTCATTAACGCATTTTTTTTGTTTTGCTTTTTTTATTAGCGTCTTCCACTTTGACAACTTAGGCCATAAGTCTTGTGTTTGTGTAGATTATGGAATGCTAGTACTCTAATGCTCCGTAGTGTAGGAGTACTTAGTAGTTTAATACTTCTACATGCCTACAGACAGGCCTTGTTACTGTTTCCCAGCGCCATTTTATGAACAGCACTGTTAATTTGAACCCAACAGAGAATGATCGGAGTGGTCAAAAGATGTTTACTTTTCATTAAACTATATATTTACAAGTTTATTTTGTTACAGGTCTCAAGGATAGTATACGAATAAGAAGAATGAAAATGAAACAGAGTAGCATGCGGTCGGCATCGTTAAATCAAGATATTAAAATGATGAAAACTGTAAATAAAAATCCTCCAGTTTCGAAAAAGAAAAAATCTTCCAAACTTAACCCTCCCATGCGAGATACTATTTCTGAAACTATTTCTTTTGTTATCAAAGGAAAACTTACACCAATCAAACCTATTTTATTACGAAAAGAAATTGATTTAATAAATAGCAAATGTAAAGCAAAAAGTCAAAAAACTGTTAAAAAAACAAACCGGAAAGCTACAAAAATTAAAAAAATTAAAGAAGAACCTCTTAGGATAAAATCAAAAGTTCAAACGAAAACTGCCAAAAATACAAGTGCCCAGAATATTTTTAAAAATAAATCTGATACGGTTGTAGTAAATTTAGTTACACAATCGCCAAAAGCAAATTCGAAACATTCAAAACTAGAATCAAAAATAATTAATAAAAGGCCTAAGGCGAAAGAAGAGAAACCAAAGAAAGATAAAAAAAATGCACCGGCGGATAAAACATTAAAAACAAAAACCGTACCCAAGTTAACCAAAAAACAATATAATAAGAAAAAGATAGATAAATCTTTAGAAAACAAAACAGTCATTGATGAAGATGAAATTAAGAAACAACAAACTATTGAAAAATTGTTAAAAGAAGTTAACGAAGAAATTAAATCCAAAAAAATAAAACCCTCCAAGCACAAAAGTAGTAAAACAAAGAAAAAAAATGTACTGGGTCAAAATAAAGTAAAGAAAATTAATGATTCAGATGAGTTAACTCTGACTAACCAAGATCCTATGTTACAAAAAGATATTAAATCAGAATTGATAGAATCCATAGAGGTTCCAAAAAGTAGCGTTCTACCGACCAATGACATAATTTTAGAAAGTAACGCTATAAAAAAAGAACCAGAATCTAATGAAAAAAAGGATGAGGAGCAGTTGTCACCATCAAATAAAAGGTACAGAAAACTGAAAACTAAACCTAAAATAACTATGATGAAAAAAAGAATACTGTCGAAAAACAAAAATAAAGTAGACAAACCGATCTGCAAGACGAAACTTTTTAAGTTTTGGAATGGTCCTAAAAGGCATAGAGTGGCATCTTTAAATGCTTTAGCAAAAGTGCATTGCCTTTATGAAAACGAAACTAAAGGAAATATATTGGATATAGTCGACGAATCGTCTAAACTACCATATTCTTTAAAAAGGGATACAAAAAATAAAAATACTAAAAACGAAACCCTTTCTGTTAAGGATGTGGATAATAGGGATAGTTCTCCTACGCCTACAAGGATATTGAGATCAGTTCCTGGTCTAAGAGCCGTAGGAAAACATTGGGATATGCACGATACTTCAAGTTCAGACGAAGAAGATTTCATTAAATTTGCAAATTTACCGGTCAAAGTAGTTAAAAAAGAAAAATTAACTCAACCAAAATTAAAATTAAAAGATGATGTACCTACAGAGAAAAAAAGAAAACCTAGTGAGATAGTCATGGATCTTAAAGATATGGTTGTTAGTAAAAGAATGGCTAGTCTAAATGCTAGTGCTATATTGGCAGCTAGTTATTCCGTTGAAAAAAGATCGAATAAATCAAAAGATAGTAATGATGATACATCATCTTGTGCAAGTAATTCATCCGAAGAATATTTTGCGGCTTTAAGTAAAGATATTAAAGAGGAAGAGGTTGATGAAACGAAAGAAAACGATAAATTAGTTGAAGTACATACAACCCCAAATAAAAACGTTGCTGTAATTTTAAACCAAGATACAGACGTTACAATAACTGGAGTCTACGTAAACAGTACGACTAGATCTACTCACCATGAGGGTTACTGTAGCATCGCAGGAATGCAGTACAGAATTTCAGCTACGAGTCACACACAAACCGCTGCTACAGCTGTCGCCACGGAAACTCTTCTGCAGTCTTCTTCTAGCAGTGGCCCCGATAATGTAAGTAATGCACATATTCAGTAAAGAAATGTTTTCGTTAGGCATAACGTGTTAGGAATTAGAAATATGACAATCACGCTGTTTCTTTTAAGATGTTGGGAAATCAGGTAGAGGGGATGGCAAAAAAGCTATACAAATTGGAACTCGGACCATATAAACCAAATCTATTAGGGACTTAACTAGCATAAGTGGGAGTGATGTAGACGTCGTAGATATTATGCGCTATTTAGTAATCTGTTTGTTTCACGCGAGGTCCTATTATACTTTATTCAAATCATTAATTTCCTTATCTGTGTATAGTTAACACAACAATTTTAGCACAATCTATGATTTTGTGCAAATGATGTGGTATGTTTGTACGCTTTATCCGACAATTTTTTATTTATATATTATTTAGTCAAAAATTGTTCCAGCTTAAATCGAAGATAACACAAGTCTTAGTCACCATGTGATATTCATGACTTAGATCAGAGGTGCCCAAACTTTTTTGTCTCGTAGACTAACTTGCCATGTTTTGGGTAACCCCCTACTTAACTAATATTGAATTTTTAAAAATTCCTCAACTTCAAATGTGTTTTGACTGATTTCTAACTGTAGTGAGGTTTAGAAGAAAAAACAAAACAAAAAACAAACAAAAAACAAAAAAAAAACAAAAAAAAACAAAAAAAAACAAAAAAAAACAAAAAAAAAAACAAAAAAAAACAAAAAAAACGAAAAAAAATATGAAAAAACATTAAATAAAGCAATAAACAATAAAAAAACAAAAAAAACAAAAAAAACAAAGAAAAACAAAAAAAAATACAAAACAAAAAAAAATACAAAACAAAAAAAACATTAATTTGTATACATTTATTAATGAAACTGAAATTAAAACGAACCAAAATAAATTGAGTACCTATATATTACATAAAATCAGTAAGTAAAAAAATAAACGCTTTTTAGTGCGAGGGATGAAACTGGTGCATTGATAATAAATTTTCAATATTTGTCATCAATTTAGTGAGGTTTAATCTTAAATCTCCTCGGTTAATGATGTCCAGTTTGTTTCCTTTATTGGTAACTCCTCAAACCGTTTTCCACTAGATATGAAGACGGGAAAGCAATGAAAAACTTTCCCGCGGTATTCCATAATACGAGATAATAATAATAATAATAATAATAATAATAATACTCTCCCTAATTCACCCCTCTGCGAGTGAATTTCGACCCCTGAAGTCGACTGAACGACTTGTGTAGGGGAAGAAACCGATATTATTATTATTTGCCGTGGCGCTCCGGGGCGACTTAAAGATGATTGATGGTGCCATTTGACTTAGAGATGAGGAAAACCTTACCCACCATCATCGAGACGGTGATGCATGGCGATGTTATAATCTGCATTTCATATCCACAGAAATTGAATTTCTATTAATACGGCACACATCAAATCCTATAACGAACCATGCAATTTAATTAAAAATTCACATGGTCTGTGTAGGATTCGAAGCATTTCTGTCTCTGACTACAAACTTACTTATAGCGAGTGAGACCGGTACACCGCCGACCCGATAAGGAGTAACAGGTATATCTTTTTGAATCCAGAATAGCTGATATCCGTTTCTAAATTATTGTACTTTAAGTTCTTCGTTAGTGCTTATTCCGATCAGTTCCCTACCAATCTACCGTTGAAGAAACGGATGATAATATGTCATCCGTTTCGTCAACGTCACCATATGGATTGATTATCCATTGTGATATTACCGTATTCATTTAACCTATTGTTTAGCTAAAGTTTCAGAAATAATTTCTTCTTGTAATCCTTTTTGATTTTGCTCTTTTCTTTGTTTTTATCTATACATTTTTAAAAATGTCTTGAATGTTATAATTTCATATGAAGGTTTAAAACTTACTTACACATCCATTATCCAAAGGACCCCGCACTTATTTCCTTATGTAAAGTGGCGACCGGTCAAATTTTCTGAAACTGTGCTTAACCTAATAACTAAAAGTGTCAATAGGCTCAACTCAATCCTATGACTAGTTTTCGAAATTTTTATGTTTAAAATTAGGAGCTAAATTGAATTTCTGTTTTAAACACACGTTTACTACATGTGTTAGTAATACATTAGTACATACAATTAAAAATATTTTATAATTTTACTGTGACGTCAGGGAAGCATATTTTTACAAAATACTACACAATATGGTATTTTGGCAATAAAATATACAGTACACATTGCATATATAAGGTGTTCTAATAGAAATCGTTAGATTACCCTGTATATTTTAAAATCTTATGGTTACACACCTAATGTAATGTTATTAACTTACTCAAAAGTCACTAAAGAAATGTCGTCTTTTTGATAATTTCAAAACATAATTATCTTTTGGTGGTTGGCTGCAAGGCTCACCTTGTATAAAAATATATTAACCAAATGAAATCATTTCTCTGTGGCTCAACCTCGGGCCCAACTGCAGTTATTGAGTGTTTGCAAAAACATATTGCGATTTATTCGTGAAGCACCCTGTAACAATTATTTTAAACCAGTGGCGGCTGGTGTCCACAATATTGAGGGTTCACAATAACAGAATATGTAGGTAAAAAACTTTCAGAGTCTTCGTTATATTATAGCTTTCTATACCTATACCTTCCTATATCTATACGTTTCTAAAACACTAAAAGTTTTTTACCTACATATGTACTGAGATTTATATTCTCTATCATTGTGAATTCCCAATATTTTGGTCACACGAGCCGCAACTGTTTTAAACTGTCCCTTGTAATGGACATATCAGCAAAACTTATATTAAACTTATATATTCTACATAGAGACAATCTAGCTTTTCAGTTTGAAGAAAAAATAAACTAAATTCTCCACTTTAACGCCCTGTATCTCAAAAACTGGTCATAGTATCGAATTTAAAATTCATAACTCTTAAAACGGTGTTAAAATTATTATATACCGAGAAAATATACTTTCATTAAAATAGAATATCTTCCAATAAATAAGCCGTCTTTTATATTTTGAAGCTTAGAGGTACACATATTTTAATGATATTACTTTTCCCAAAAATCAATTCATAAGTACAGGATTTTGAAGTAATCCTTAAAAAAATTATTTTATTTAGTGGTTCTTACTATAAAACACCCTGTATAAGAAATGTGTATTGTGCAATATTTGGTCGACAAAATACCATACTTTTTGAAAATATGCTTCCCTGACGTCACAGTAGAATTAGGGCCGATTACACCGTTGTGTTAAACGAAATTTAAATTACTAAACGAAGATTATAATGACATTGTTAATATTAAAATGTCATTTTAATCTTCGATTAGCAATTTAAACTTCGTTTAACACAACGATGGAATCGGCCCTTAGGAAGATTTTTCAAAAAACTACCCTCATACATTTGTGAATCACCCTGTAAGTAAAAATATTTTTAATTGTACGTAAGTAATAATATATTACAAAAACATGTGTATGCAACAGAAATTTTATCTATCTCGTAAGTTGGAAAATAAAAATTCAGAAAAATACTGTGTGAAGAGTATAATAATGCTTAATTACCATTTACCAGGCAAGGTTGACACAAGAAGCTTTCAATTTCATAATTCATTTCATCAATACGATTTTGAACGTTGCTGTTACTTAAAGGAATTATTTTAGTGATAACAGATGCAGGTTTGTGTAACGGTTTTTAAAACTTCTTTAACGGCTGGCAATATTAAAGGTATGGGGTTTTCCGTTTTTTGCTATAAGTAGCGAGATATTGTAAGACGCTCGCAAACCATCATCATTTGTGACGTTGAATCAAACATTTTGTCCACTGCGGGTCTCTTCGAGGGCGTTTTTCAAATTAGGAACGTTTTTGGGAAATTTTACAACAGTAAAAAAATAGGTCAGGTTGAAAATTAGTGGGATGATCTCATCGCCTTCCACTGCGACCCAGACGGGTCTACTGTGGCTCATGACTAACTTATAGTTCACCGTACAAGCCACACCTTTTGATGAAGGTCATGGTTGAATTGGGTGAGACTTGTTTAAAATCGGTAGGCTCCAGTCGAGTAAATCCGGAGATTTAAAACCTGGTTCTTTCCAGAGCGGAGCAGGTACATAGAATGTGCTCTGCAGACTCGTCCTCCACGCTGCAGAATCGACAGTCCGATGTTTGCTGCAAACATATCCTTCTCATGTGGTTGCCCAGACGGCAGTGTCCTGTCATCAGTCTAGTGAAAATGCGTAGATCTGTCCTACTCCATTCTCGGATCTGAGCAGAAGCGTTCAAAGAAGGGTTGGTTATAAACGCCTTCGAATGAGTTAGCCCTGGGGTATCTCTCCAGTTCGTGAGTGTTGCACCCTCCGTCCATTTTGAGATAATTCCTTTGGCAGTGCTCTGTTCAATGTCCAGGAATGGTTCTGGTCCTATGAACACAGATTCGGTTCCTCTTTTAGCAAGCTCGTCGGCTTTTACGTTGCCCTCCACACCACTGTGTCCCGGAACCCAGATCAAAGTAACTTTGTTCCGGGCAGCGAGACATTCAAGGGTATTTATACAGTTCCAAACCAGCTTTGAGTCAACTCGATTGGAGCTGAAGGCCTTAAGGGTTGCCTGGCTATCTGAGAAGATCTTTATAGTCTTGTTTGCGGGGAGAAAATTAATCAACTCTCTCGCTCCCAATTCTATAGCAATCATTTCTGCTTGGAGGATCGTGGCCAGAGAGCCTATGTTTATTTATATATCAACTCTACGCATCTGGCCGAAAACTCCCGCTCCTACTCCTTTTTCAGTTTTGGAGCCGTCCGTGTACAACGCATAGTCTACCTGGGAGAGGGTTTTTCCCCTCTGCTCCATGCGTCTTTCTCCGGAATAAGGACGCTGTATGGCTTTTCTATGTGCTGTCGGGGAACTATCGAGTCCGAGACCATGCCGAGGATGAAGTGGTTATTAATTTCACTCATCAGTCCCGTTTTGTCCCATCGCAGTTCTTCGTAGCATTGAGCACCCACCATCAGGAGCCTATAGGAGACCACCCTGGCCTTCCTTTCCAGCAGAATGTGGAGAGTGGTTAGGTCCAGCATGGTCTCCATGGTTCCCGTAGATGTGGTTGACATTGCTTCAGTTATGGCGAGGCACACAAGCCGCTGTATTCCAGCCAGCTTTGCTCTGGCCGTCCGTTGAAGTCCTTGGCCCACCAGACGACAGAGCTGTACGTAACCATGGGTTTTACCACTGTTTGGTAAATCTAGTAGATCAGTTGAGGACTGATTCCCCATGGTTTTCCGCATATCCTTCTAGGGGCCCAGAGGGATAATCTCGCTTTGTTAATGGTTTTTTTTATTTCAATTGGGAGTTCTAGGTGGGTTTCTTATCTAGGGTGATTCCCAGATATTTCACCTTCTCTGCAAAAGGAATGGTTTCCCCAGCCAAGGTAGGTTGTCGAAGCTTGTCGAGCTTGCTTCTCTTCAATAACAGTTTTGCGGGGGTTAACAGACATCTGCTCCCTCTCGCACCATCTGTTGATCGTATTAAGGGCTTGTTGAAGGATGTTGGAGATCACCTCTTCGAACTTTCCCCTAATTATGATAACCAGATCGTTCGCATAGCATTGGAAAATCACCCCCTGTCGGGAGAGATCGTCTAGCAGGTTATCCACCAGAATAGTCCACAGTTGGGGTGAAAGTACGCAGCCTTGTGGACATCCTCAGTCAGGCCTAAAAGTGAACAAAGACAGGAAGGGCGTTGTTGAACGCGCCTTCTATATCTAGGAAGGCACCTAGCGCAATTTAGAGAATGGCCGATTTGACCTACTAGATTGTGCAGGGCATAACCTGTCGATTTGCCTGCTTGGTAGGTATATTGGGAGGAGTTTAACGGGTTTGCCCGAAGGCCTCCTTCTCTAATATGCCTATCTAGAATCCTCTAGTGTTTTTAGAAACAGGTACCCTAAAATCATCTACTTTTTGAAAGACTCGTTTTTAAGAGATTTTAAGGGACCTTTGCCTTCTTCATCCTTTAACAAGTACCTACTAACTATAATCGATGAATACTCCAAATTTTCCTTTTTTTTGCCTGTTCAGATACATCCACTTTTTAAGTAATAAAACACTTATCTAAATTTTTTTCATTTTTTGGTTACCCTTCCTTTATTCATACCGACAATGGAAGTTGTTTTACTTCTAAAGAATTTAATGATTTTCTTACTTCAAGAAGAATTGCTTCGAGTCGCTCTACCCCATATAATCCCAGAGGCAACAGCCAAATTGAAAGGGAAAATGGATCAATATGGAAGACGATACAGTTATCGTTAAAATCCAACAATTTAAAAATTTCTCAGAGGGAATGTGTGTTAAATGAAGCTCTCCATCAATTAGGTTTTTGTTATGCTCCGCAATAAACGGCCACTCCACATGAAAGGAAGTTCAACCTCTGTAGACATTCAGTTAGTGGACAATATCTTCTCTCATGGTTAGCTGATACTGGTCCTATACTATTAAAGAAGCAGGAACCAAGTGTGAATCAATTGTGGAAGAAGTCGAACTATTGAAAAGTAATCCCGAATTTTCGTACGTAAGAATGTCCGATGGAAAAGAAATAACGGTCACAAATCTCAAACCAAGAGGGAATATTATTGAAAATAGTTCACTTGAAGAAATTGAAGATGGCAGTTGTTCGTTCCCTTCTTCTACTCATGTTTCCTTGACTCCCACTTTAGTGCCTGCATACTCTGAAAACTTGAGTTCTACATCAGCTACTCCCGGAAACTTAGTTGAATTGAGTGAAACGGTCCCTATTTCTTTAAAAAACCAAATTTCAAAATCTATCTTTAGGAGTAAGTTACCATCTGAAGAAAGTCGCCTAGCTAGAAAAAGAAAACCTCCTAAATACCTTGAAGAATATGAAAGATTCTGAAGAAGGAGAGAATGATATGAAAATATGAGTTGCCTTTGTATAACTTGATTAATTGTATTACCCCTATATATCGATGGCTTAAGTGCTTAAGTGCAAAACGTCATAGCCCCAAAAAGTAAATTTTACAGGGGAATAAAAAAACCATTGAGATGTAATTTCGAAGAGCAACTTTTTGTTTTGGCGCGTAATATTAATTTCATTTTATGCTGTTGCTTACGATAGTTTTTCACGCAGCTAAAACATACGATTCCAATGACGCGAAAAGCGATTTTTTGAAATTTTGTGGGTTACGACGTTTTGCACTTAAGCCATCGATATTTTATTTATCTTTGTCATTAGTTGTCATTATGTATATGTAGTTTTTGCTGAATAAAGCCAATTAGTTCTTGGTTCACATAAGCTTTTATAACACCATGTCGTAAATGTTTTAAATTAATAATTAGAGTTGATATGTTGATAGATTTAGCTGACAGCCTCTGATGCAAAGTATGAGTACCGCCCGGCTTTTTTTTTTTTTTTCTATAAAAAACTATCCCTAACTTCCAATTGAAACCTTCCCCCCCCCCCCCAACTGACTTCCAAGATAAAGTATTTACATTTTTAGTTAACGCCTAATTTGTGTCACTGATTACCTCAATGTGTTTTTATCAAATAGTCTCTAAATAAATCGATTGTGAGAGACACCGAGATAATTCCCTAAGTGTTTCTTATTGCCAATTTGGGTACTGATGAGACAAATTACTTGAAAAATTATTTCTTTCTAAGTATATCTTTTCCAAAATTAAATTTGATGTTTTTATTACGAGAGAAACGAGATGGGACAAGACGATACGAGAAAAAGGTTCTCTCGAGCGAGAGAATCATCTTCTCGTCGAGACGAGAAAACAGTTTTCTCTCGCCTTATGAGACGAGAGAGGCTTCTTTCTCGACTCGTCTCGCGGCATCACTAGTTTTATAACATTTTTGATAACTGGAGTCAATAGGTAACAATTCGAATTTCTGTAAAAAGAGAGAATGTTCACATTTTTTCATTTAGCTTTATTATATTTGGTCATATGTTTCGGCGAAACTGTTGAGCCTACCTCTTTTTGCTTTTTATACTTTTTAAAAATTGACCCCTTACTATTTTTGAAAACACTTTTCTTTACTACCGGCTTTTAAAATGTTTGCCTTTTGTTTAAGTTTCTTTACAAGAACATCTCCAAAAACACGTTTCTATGCCTTGTATAAATAGTTGGGATGAGGGTGAACGAACAACGGACATTGTTGAAATTTGAAATATCTTTATAGGGTTTGTACTTTAGTTAACCTAGGATCAGTTATTATTTCAAACATTTTGAGTTGGGTATTGAAATTATTTTACGGTAAAATATGTTACACACATTTTACTTCAACTTTCACAAATAACACTACCACAGAACGCTTACTTTAGTTCCCATTTGGCTTATTTGACAAAAGTAAAACGCAAAACGAACATTACAAATCACAAAACATCTGTCAAATGTAAAATTTCGTTGATTGTTAAAGGTAGAAGAGACTTTAATTTGCTCTTTTAAGGTTAAACAAACGGTTTCAAAAAAGCTGTCCAAAAAGTCAATAATAGCTCAAAAATAAATAATAAATTAGTACCAAAGGGACTTTGAAACATAATAAGCAGTATCCAGGTAGGTATTAAAAATAAAAAACGTGTATCAATCTTTTTGATAAATAATGGAACATTCTTTAACGTCCCTCAGTTTGTTTCAATAGTATGGTTGTATGGTTTGAATGCGACATTCTATAACTAAATTACATATTTGCAACAAAAATGACAATTATTTCAAATACTTGTATCCAGAATAGTATTTTTTTTTTAATTTTATGAAGAATCTAATTTTTATTGTTTATGTCAACCTACCCCAGTTTTGCGCATAGAAGTCCCCCCCTGAACACTAAGTTGTTTTACCGATGACGCGTCGCTCGACACAACACTAACGCATCGCGATGCGCGACGCTCCTACTCTGAGCAAGGCTTTACGAGTACTAACTTTTTATAGCTCGGCAACACCGCTCGTTTATGCAGTGTTACCATTTTAGACCTAATGCCTAATTAAACATTTCTACAGCGTATTTAAGTTTTTAATTTTACTTCACCGCTCTCATTCAAAAGAGAAAATATGGAACACGGAATTAGTAATACTTTGTCTTTTCAGAGTAATAGTGATTCAATGCCTTCTTCTAAATCGTATACTCCTCTGGATGCATTGTCAAATATGCAACCACCACCAGGACCTGGTATCCAACACAATCATCCAGTTTTGCACGGGCAACAGCAACACATGGGGCCTCCTCAACATGTTCTTCCATTACCTCCACACCAGTTGTCACCAGGTAAGTTACATATTTATCTAAAAAAAATATTATTTTGTGAAAAAGATGGGTATGATGGCCATATCGCACGAAGACGAAGTTTGAGCACGACGCCGGAGTGCAATACCAACAATCCAACTCGAGTTGTACACTTCTACAGTTAATTTTTTCTGCCATCCACTAAGGAATATCTAAATTCATAGGTTGTTAAGATAAAATTACTAATTTAAAAATAATTTATGACTTTAAAATAAAATAAACTTGAAAAAAAAAATTGTCCATCCTAGATTTAAATCCCGGACCTTTTGTAGTGAACTTTATATCTACGCTAACGAGACAAATAATGTTTTTTTAACTACTTACCTACTTGTTTTTATTAACCGACTTCAAAAAAGGGAGGAGATTCCCAATTCGTCGGAATATTTTTTGTATGTATGTTTAGCGATAATTCTTTAACACGGTGTCCGATTTCAATAAGTCTTTTTTGTTAAAAAAAGGGGTACTTCAGGAGTGGTCCCATATAAATTTGGTCAAAATCTAATCATTTGGTCCATGAGAAAATCCTCAAACTCTTCATTTTTTATGTATGTTCAGCGATAATTCTTTACCACCTTGTCCAATTTCTATGATTATTTTTTTGTTAGTAAGGGGGTACCTCAGAGGTGGTCCCATACGAGTGGCGCTGCCAAAGTTCGCGGAAAATGTAAAGCAAAACACAAATTACGTTATGTAAATCGCTTTATTGCTTCTCAAAATATTCTCCTTTAAAATCTATATACTTTTGCATCCGATTAAACCAATCTTCAAAACAATTTTGCCATTCTGAGCGAGGTACCTTCAAAACAAGTGATTTCAATGCTTCAACAGTCTCTTCAGGCGATGAAAAACGAAATAGGAAGAAGTCATTGGGCGATAAATCAGGCGAATATGGACAATGAGTCATTAATTGGATGTTGTTACTGGTCAAAAACTCTACAGTTCGTCGTGCTGTGAGCGCTTGCATTGTCATGATGAAGAATGATTCGCCGGTTTATGTTGTTCCTTCTGATTTCAGCGATAACTTCCGGCAAACAAATTGAAGTATACCAGTCAGAATTAACTGTCCTTTGATCCTCTAATGCAACAGTTGCAACATGACCCGTTTTGCCGAAGAAACAAGCAATCATTCTTTTCAACTTCGTGAACGCACTACTTTTGTGGGTTTAGGTTCATTTTGGAACACCCATACAGTCGATTGCTGTTTAGTTTCAGGCTCATATGAATATATCCAAGATTCGTCACCTGTTACGATGTTATATACCGAATTTGAACGACCCCCTTCGAATTTGTTTAGCATTTCCTTGCACCACTTGACACGTGCCTGTTTTTGTTCTTCTTTCAAATTGTGTGGGATCCAACGACTGCAAAGCTTCCTGACATGCAAATGATCATGCAAAATCGTATGTATTTGTTTCGCTGCAATGCCTAAGGATGCCTTTATCTCACGATAGGTCACATGCCGATCTGACAAAATAATTTCACGCACAGCATCAATATTTTTCGCGACAACAGAGGTACATGGACGACCTTCGCGAAGATCGTCATCAAACGTTGGTCTTCCACGCTTGAATTCTGCGAACCATTTGTAAACCATAGTTTTGGATGGTGCTTCATCCCCAAATAATGAACTAAGTTTTTCCACATATTGCTGCGGTGTTAAACCGTATCGAAAATCATAAAAAATCATCACTCGGAAGTCACGATTCGAAATTTCCATTTTTCACACAAATATTACTCTCGTTAAATTTTGTTGAAACGAAACCGAGCAGTTTGAAATCGAACTGTCAACTGAATGATAGGTGATAACGTCAAATTTTACGAATATGACAATCGCAGAACGCTGGCAATATAAGGAGTACTTGATTCCGCGCACTTTGTGGCCCTCGTATAAATTTGGTCAAGATGTGGTGATAGCATCTGCACGATTTTAAGTCGGTTTTTTAAATTTACTTTTATTACTTGTTAAAATTTCAGATTTATTTGTAGATGCAGATGAATATCTTGTGGAATACTATTATTTATCGATTCTTCACACGAATCACTCATTTTTAATTATATTTCTGTGGTCGACGCTTTAGAAGTAATAAGTCGATATTACACATTTTTATAGAATGGCGCTGGAAAATTTTGGGACACATCAATAAGGATTTTTAGAATCAAAATCGACGATCTTTTTAGGAGATTTGGTCCTGTAAAAATTAAAACATATGTTGTAAATATTTTGTTTTAACTGTTTTATGTTACATAATTTGACTGTTTATGTTTAATTATGACGTTTTGTCTTTCGCAGTTACCTTTGTATTATACATATTTTTGTACCTTATTTTTATTACTTTACAACGTATATAGACTTAGATCCTTTTAACTGCCTAAAATATACACTTCATTTACGTAAAAACGACTTATGACCTTTTAAGCGCCGGCCACAGATTTAATGTCAATAACTAAAAAAATATACTGACAGTATTGTCATTGTCATATAAACTGTGATTGGTGAATTTCATATAAAAGAAAATAAATTCTTTGCAAATAAAACGAAACTACAAAATAATTTAGAAAAATGAATTTTTTAAAAGAAATAAATGAATACGAACTAATAAAATGTTAACAATGTTTAATTTGATGACTCTTGGATTACCAATAATGAAAAATAAGGAAGTTAATCCGAATCTAAATCTAAACCATCGATCGAGGAATCGAGGTTTGGGTACCCAGGATGTTTCTAAATTTATGCGACAAAATTCAGGAGGTGATTGCTCGTATGAAATTAAGATGGGTCTCTCCTATAACAAAATTTCCTCAGCCCACCCCTTTCCGAGATATCACCCTTAAAAGGTGGTGACTAAAATTGAGTTTTTTTATTTTTTTTTCTTCTAAAATTTCAGTAAAGCTAGAAACTTGAAATTCTGTAATTTTCGTGCACACGCAAAGGAATATTGAAAAAATACCCGTGGTTAGTCCTTTGCGAGTGCACGAAAATTGCAAAATTTTAAGTTTCAAGTTTGCTAGCTTTACTGAAATTTTATAAAAAAAATAAAAACTCAGTTTTAGTCATTACCTTTTAAGGGTGATATCTCGGAAAGGGGTGGGCTGAGGAAATTTTGTTATAGGAAAGACCCATCTTAATTTCATACGAGCAATCACCTCCTGAATTTTGTCGCATGAATTTAGAAACACCCTGTATAACTACTGGAGCTATAGAAGGTAAATCATGATATTCTTTTTCCTTTTTATTGACGTGACTAACGCTATTTTTCCAAACGTCAGTCAAAGAGGAATCTTTAAAAACGCCATTAATATTTTCCAAAACCACATTTGTTAAAGTAGGTGCAAAATGATTACGTCTCAGTTTTTGTTTAACTGAAGACCAAACTAATTCAATTGGATAAGTATACACTAATAAGGTGGTAACCTCAATACAGTATGACCCCCACCTTTTTCAAAATTATCAATATAATAACTGTATTGGAATATTCTTACATTTAACAATTTGTAACAATTGTGGTTTTGTTTTTACGGAAGCAGGAATATCAATATTATTATCATTTAAATACTTTATTATATCTGATTTCTTAGAGCCACTATTTGGCTTCTTGTGAATTTGCCGTGAATGGTATGGTGCATTGTCCATTACAATGACTGAATTAGGTGAAATATTCGGTAAAAGTTGTTCAGCAATATTTCTATTGCTATTTCTAAATTTAAAAATTTCCTTTAAATAAATTTGTCGTAATTCCAAAATTCGACGCGATTCCATAATGCACATTCGACTCTCTAACTTTTTTTTATCTAAAACCACAAGTTATTAAAATTTGTCGAAGTTATTCTAATGATTTATATTTGAAAGCTTCAAAATCTTGTAATTTTCTAAAAAGTATCTCTAAGGTTCGGACTTGGTTTTTCTTTATACATGTAACGAAATGAATTGTGGAAAAGGGAATTTTTGTTAACTTACATATTCTTTTAACTGCATCTGTTTGTGAAATATTTGGATTTTCTGATTTAAGACAAGCAAACATATTTAAAATGACCTGTTGAACTTGAATATGTAAGTCCTGATTTTTGAATTCCCAAGATTGTGTTTCACCTTGATTGTCATTAGTATGAATTGCATTATTAATACGTATTTCATCATTCATTTCAGAGTTGGGTAGTATCCGGATACAGTATCCGGATACTTTATGTTTATCCGAAAGCTGTATCCGGGTACTTTTCAAATTTTGTTTTCGGTATCCGTATCCGTGACCAAATTTGTAAATATTCGGATACCGGATACTTTTTTCGGCATTCGGATACTTTTAAATTATTTACCACAATCGTAACTGATCCAATACAAATTTTCTCTATTAAAATATATAATCGAAATACTTTGAGCTACCCTGTATAATTAGAAATAAAATACATATTTTTCAATATTACAATATTTAAGACACAATTGCAATAGGTACCTACTTAAATAAAAAATAGTAAAATAATTATTTTATTATGATTTGTAGTTTTGTTTGGTGCACCAATTTAAAATCGCAAAAAAAATTCTCATCGCCAAGGATCAATTCGACGATTCACCCAGTATACAGACGGTCAGAATTCAGCATCTTGCGGCACGCTTTTACAGGAAAAATCCTGCAAATTCTTGTCCGGTGTTAGCGTCACGAACTTGTGGAGGTTCCATTAGCCCAGTTATGTTTCAGTTGGCAAAGACAAGAGACGGTTGTTCCTGTGTTTTTATATAGTGCAATATAACTAAACTTTCTATATCAGTTTTAGTGCCTAACTATACGCAAAGTTAAGTAGGTGTAGGTACCTCGAATTTTTTGTTTTGTAAAATGTCTAATTACATTATTAGTTCTTAAAATGTAGTCGAAAAAATACATGTATGACGTTGTTGCTCATAATGTTACTAAACATGTGTTATATATGTCGTCATCAACATCAATAAAGTATACAGATCTGACAAGATCAAATATATGAGCCTGCTTTGC